ACAACGAGCAGACCATGGAGATCAGGATGAGCCTCGTGTAGAGCCCGACCCTGCGCCAGCCTCCCAGCTGGGCCCCGACCCGCTGTGGGCTCATGTCGCAGCAGCCCGCGAGGCTCTGGGCAGGATGGAGCGGATGCCCGACGGCCCTGCGTGCATGGGAACCCCGTCAAGCCAGCCACACATCACGCTCGAGCAGCAGCAGGTCCGTTCCATCATGGACGATGCCATCATCTGGGCGTCTTTCTGGATCGATCGCTTCGACGTGGCAGGCTTCACCAACGAGTGGGACTACCGTACGTGGTGTTCGGAATACCTTGAGAGGTTTCTCAGCCTGGCGACGTGGACTCCAGTTCGAGAGCATCTTGTACGTAGCAACCCTGGCCGCACTCTAGGGCAGGTAGTCGACGACCTATGCGCTACCTCTTGGACGCGGGCCGAGCCAGCCCGTCAGGCTCAGTTCGCCAGAGTACGGCCTGACTCGGGTTTGACAGCCAAACAGCGACGTCGGCTGCTTCGGCATCACTTCGACGTGTTGAACCAGGTCAGGGAGCGTTTCAAGGAGCTTCTGGGAGATCGTGCCCCGCCTGAGACGGCCTCGTGGCACCAGTGGGTCTTCGAGCCCCTCTCCTCGGAGGACGACCAAGGAGGTGATGCGGCAGGCCGCGCAGCCGAGGGCGCCATGGGGTACGACGATGCCGACGAGTTCGCGGCCCTCTGCGTGCACAGCGACCTCGAGGTGGTGGAGGCAGGCGGCACGACGGCCACCGGCACCCAGGCGTCAGAGCGCGTGTCGTCGCCCAATCCCGACCTCGCCCCCAGGGCACTCCAGCCACAGGAGGAGGGAGCTCCAGCGGGTGGGGCGAGGCGGGAGGGTGTTTTGCGGATCCGCAGTGCGGCAGCCACCAGTTCCCAAGACGTGGTCGGCGGTGGTGTGGCTGGCGCTGGGGCAGCGGTTCCCACGGTGCCGACTGCTGTTCAACCTGATGGTGAGCCTGGAGCTGATCTGGGCGAGTTGGCCAGCTCCCTGGCCGTGGACGGCAAGGCTGCCACCCAGGCAGCGGCCGCAGTGTGCTCCGCCCCCTTGGCGGCACACCAAGCTCGTGCTGGCCAGGGCAGCCTGAAACACGGTGGTAAGGCCCCAAGGACTGGTTCCTCAGCATCTTCGGCGGCGGCGGCGGGCTTGGGCCAGGGAGGCCTGGCACCGCTGGCGGGGCCCCCGCCGCCCTCGGCTGCGGCCGCGGCGGCCTCGGAGCCAGAGCAGGGTGCGCGCGGGCGGGCGGCCTCTGCCCAGCCCGCCAGGAGTGGCCAGGCGCTGCCTGGGACGGCCAGGGCCGCTTCGTCGGAGCCGCGGCCGCATGCGGTCGAGATCATCGGCCACTTCGTGGTCTGCGTGGTATGCGGTTCCTACTACAGCTCGGTGGCCAGGAACCTCGGCGGGCCGTGCAGGCGGCTGGACCCGCGCGACCCAGGCGACAGGGAGCGCCTCAGGCGCATCCGCCGCATCCAGCGCGGCCAGGACCCAAAAACTGGACGGGATCTGAGTTGAGGCCGTTGTGCTCGTTCAATGATATGTCTGGTTTCAGTGCGTGCGGCCCCCCCTTGGCGCGGTGTTATCCGTGAGCTGAGGGGCCTGGGCGGGGCTGCCGCCCCGCTCGGGGCGCTCGGGCCTACCTTCCCGCGTTGCGGGTGGCCTGGGCGCGGCGCGTTTTCTCGCTGCTTTTCGGCCCCCCTTGGCGGCAGGCTGAGGGGCCTAGGGTGGGGCGCGGCCTCGAGGGGGCCACGGCGCCGCCGCCCTGGGGAGCGCGCGGGGGCGCTGCCCGCGGCTCGGCCCCTCTCTCGGGCTCGGCAGGCGACGGACGTCGCCCGAGGGCCCTGCGCACGGGCCTGGCGAGGTGCAGACGCCCCAGGCCGCCGAGGCACCAAAGCACCAAAACACACACACACACACACACACACACACACACACACACACACACACACACACACACACACACACACACACACACACACACACACACACACACACACACACACACACACACACACACACACACACACACACACACACACACACACACACACACACACACACACACACACACACACACACACACACACACACACACCACACACACACACACACACACACACACACACACACACACACACACACACACACACACACACACACACACACACACACACACACACACACACACACACGGAGGAGCGGGAGGGGAGGGAGGGCGGAGCAGGGAAGCAGGAGGGAAGAGGGAGGACGAGGGAGGAGATCGGAGGGGGACGAGGGGAGGAGGGAGGAAGGGAGGCAGGAGGGAGGAGCGAGGAGGGAGGAGGGAGGAGGGAGGACGAGGGAGGAGGCAGGAGGGCGGGGGAGGGGGCCCCCTCCTGCCCCCGCCAGGGGAGCACCTGGCAGGGCACGGCGGCCGGCAAGAGGACGCGTTCCAGCCTCCGCGGCCCTCTCCTCCTCGGCGCCCGAGAGTTAGAGGCAAGGGAGGGGAGGGGAGGAATCAGGGAGGGAGGGGGGGGGGGGGGAGAAGGGAGGGAGGGAGCGAGGGAGGGGAGGGAGGAATCAGATTGGGAGTGGGAGGGGGGGAGCTCGAGGACGACGAGGGGAGGCGAGCGGTACCGATACCGGCCATAACCAGTCGCTCGCTTCCACGGCTGGATTCGCCTCGACAAAATCTTGGTCCTACCGCGCCCTGGGAGAGAGCTCCAGGCAGGAGCGGTGCTGGTACCGCTCCCCCAGGACGAGGGAGGGAGGAGGAGGAGGAGGAGGAGGAGGAGGAGGACGACGAGGAGGACGAGGAGGAGGAGGAGGAGAGGGAGGGAGGGAGGGAGGGAGGGAGGGAGGGAGGGAGGAGGAGGAGGAGGAGGGAGGAGGGAGGGGGACGGTGCCCGGACAAAAAAAGTGTCCACACCCATGGCGGTGAGGCGACGCAGCATGAGAACAGCCACAATTCCGAGATGCCACTGCTTCTCATCCCCTCCCCCCCGAAACCGAAGTTGAAGTGTCCACGTGTTGTCCCTGGCCTGCGGCCCACCGCCCACACCCGCCAACTTTGAGGCTGGGGCAAGGGGGGGGGACCATTCTGGTCCGACGTGCTTTGCTAGCTCAAGGTCTTCGCGAGACACGCGTGGACACTTTTAGTCCACCGACCGGAGTGCAGTGGGGGGCGGGGGCGGGGAGGGGGGGACCGTACATGGACATTAGATTCGAACCCTGTGGCCCAAGATGCCCCCCAGAAACTCATATTGATGGCGTGACGACGCGGGGGGCGTGAGTGGACAGAAGTATTCGAACCCCAAAGCACCGCCTTTACATTGATGTCGGGGGCGTGGGCGTGATTCAGAATCTCCCTCGAACGCGTAAGGGCTCGAATCTATTGCCCATCTACTGGAGGAGGGCAGAGAGAACGGCGGGCGATGGCCTGGCCCTCTCCGCGGGGGAGGGCGGGCGAGAGGAGGGAAGGAAGGGCAGGAGGCCGTCCCAGCCCTCTCGAGCCTGCTTGTGTTGGTCCCCAGCCCTGCTGCGCGTTCGGCTTCGATGCTCTTGCCGGTTCCCGCCGTCTCGGTACGTCTCGGTGCATGATCTGCTAGCCCACGGCCCTCGCTACAGCGGAGACCCATGCCAAGAAGCACCCTGCCTGCCTCCAGGGTGCCCTGGGCTTCTTGGGTTCTGTTTTTTGTTCATATGAAAAGCGTGACGTTCCCACACCAAAGATTACTGAACGCCCTGGGGTCTCAGGGTCGGGTTTCTTGTGGACGGTCTCTTGTGGACTGGCCTCCACTGTAGCCCGAGCGCGGTTGGTCCCACATCGCTGCGGCGAACAAGTGTCGGATCCCAAGTGCTTCAGGGAGGACCGCTCGCGCCCCGCCCCTCCCTCCCAGCTTTGGCCTCCTGCCTCCTGCTCCCCCGTCGGCACCATTCTGCTTCTCCCGCCTCCCCCCCCCGCCTGCGGCCCCTGCTTCCCGATGCCCTCTGCTCCTGGCCCCGTCGCAGCAAGAGCCGCCTGGCGGTCGCAGCTGCAAACCGGGGGTTGCCAACTGTGCCTCTGTCGGCACTTTCGGGATCTGCTGGGAGGCCCAGCGGAGCAACGTCTTAGGGGCCCACATCCCTTAGGGCTTGACGCATGTGCAATTGACGCCACCATCGTGGGCCTCTGGGAGGCGTGGCGTAGCAACGGCTTGCGCGCACCCAAACGGGACCTCCATGGCAAGGTTTGTGTAGTTCTGCACATTGCTCAAAGCGACCCTCATAAATCCAAGATCCCATGACTTGGGGGAGAAGGTGGAGGAAGAAGCGAAGGATGAGGAGGATAAGGATCAGGATGAGGAGGAAGAGGAGGATGGGGATGAGGATGAGGATGCGGAGGACAAGGAACAGTAGTGAGAGACAGGAGGAATGAGAAGGATGAGGATGGGAGGTGGTGGGGAGGAGGATCAAGCGGTGGAGCGTGGAGGATTTCTAAGCAGGTGCGGGAGGAGTGAATCAGAGGAGGCAGGGACGAAGAGGCGATGGGAGGGGAAGAGAGGGCATGGGGAGGAGGGGAGGGGAGGGGAAGGGAACGGGGAGGGGAGGGGATCGGAGTGGGCCGAAGGAGGGATGGAAGGAGACGGTCCTGTGAAGGGCTGCCTTGGGCCGTCCTGGAGGCCTCGGAGGCCCCATGGATCCCCGGAGCTGCGGGAAGTTCGATTTTGCCTGCCCAGGGTTACATGTTGCTGTCGTCCCACCGTCCACAACAGACATCGGGTGCATTATCGAAAGCTGGAGACGGTCCTGTGGAGGGCTGCCTTGAGCCATCCTGAGGCCTCCGAGGCCCCATCGTTCCCCAGGCTGCGAACGGGTCGGTTTATTCCTAACCATGGTGATATAGCCAGCGCATACACATGATTGCGATTTTTTCTCTGCACATGCTGTTCATTCGTTCGCCGTCCTTGGGTCCTGGGTTACCACGGTCCCTTCATCGTCGCCATGGCAGATGGATAGGCGCTTGCTCGTGATATTGATGGGGGCGTTGTCTGGTAGGCTTTCAGGAAAGCAGCTGGCGAGGCAGCCAACAAGGCAGCCAACGAAGCAGCCTACGAGGCACCCAGCGAGGCGGCCAACGAGGCCTCCGACGAGGCAGCCCGCGGGGCAGCCAAAAAAACAGCCGTCGAGGCAACTGGCGAAGCAGCCAGCGAGGCGGCCAACGAGGTAGCCCACGAGGCACGAGGCAGCCAACGAGGTAGCCCACGAGGCAGCCAGCCAGGCAGCGAGGCGGTCGACAGGGCAGCCAGCAAGGCAACCAACGAGGCCACCGACACAGCACCCGGCAAGGCAACCAACGAGGCAGCCAACGAGACAACCAACGAGGCAGCCAACGAGACAACCAACGAGGCAGCCAACGAGACAACCAACGAGGCAGCCAACGAGACAGCCAACAAAGCAGCCAACGAGGCAGCCATCGAGGCAGCCAGCAAGGCAGCCAACAGGCAGCCGAGCAGGCAGGCCACCAGGAACCAGGCAGCCAACGATACAGCCACAGGGCAGCCGACGAAGCAGCAGCGAGGGGGGATCCCAAAATGGATCCCCCTTGCGCACCTGCGCGCGCATGTCGCGCAGATCTAGACCATTTTCACGGACAGAAGCCACCCGAACCTATGGCGCTACTAATGGAAAAAAGGGCATCCGAGATATAGGATGCCCTCGCTCACTGGACTGCATCCATTTTCAGGATGCCCCCGTTGGAAGGATGACCGCAGCGCTTTCTGGACCGAGCGCATTTGGCCCGTCGTTGTCTCCACAGCCGGAGAATGTCGCCGAAATCCTTCACTCATGTATCTGCCGACGAGCACGTCGCAATGCGCCGCTTGCATGACAGCGGCATGGGCGTCAAGAGGATCGCCGCGGCCTTGAGCCGCTCCACGGACACCGTCTCGAAGCATTTGTTCAAAAAGAACACGACCAAGAAGTCCAAGGGCCGCCCGAAGCATTCCATCCGCACCCCCAAAGGGTTTCTCGCTGCCCAGCGCGCTTACAAGAAGCTTCTGAAGTCCTCGGGCGGCACAAAGGAAGTGACGGCAGCCATGCTGAAGTCCGAGATGAAGTTGAAATGCGACATCAAGACAGTGCGCCGCGCGTTTGCTGAGAATGGCTACCAGTTCCGCCCGCTGTACGAGAAGCCTGACCTTTCGGATGGGGACAAGAAGGAGCGCCTGCAGTGGGCCCGCGAGCACGAGCACCGGAGCCCCAGTCAGTGGTCACAGTACGTCCACGCGCGCATGGACAACAAGGTGTTCCAGGTGCTGCCCAATGCGAAGTACAGGAAGGTGGCGGCAAAGCGCAAGGTTCGCGGGGTGTACAGGAAGCGCAAGCGGGACTTCTCCGTGGGCCACGTCAAGCCGAGCAACCCTAAGGTTCTCGGGCTGGCGCAAATCGGAGACCGCGCCGAGGCCACTCAGCGCCAGGCCAGTGGCCGACGGCGCGCTCTGATTTGGCTCGCCCCCAGGTTCTGAAGCAGAGTTCGGGCAAGGGCTCCGTGACCATCGCGTGCGCCATCGGCGCGGGCAAGGTGTTGATGTGGCACCAGGTGGTCGGCAGGTGGAACGCCGCAGCCGCGGGGCGAATGTACTCGGGGGCGCTCCAGCCCGCTTTGAAGAGGGCCTACCCTTCCGTGCGCGGCAAGTTCCGCGTCATGGAAGACAACGACCCCACGGGCTACAAATCTCGCTCGGGCATGGCGGCGAAGAAGTCCGCTGGCATCCAGACGTTGGACTTGCCGAAGCGGCCCCCTGATCTGATGCCGCTTGATTTCGCCTTCTGGGCCAATCTGAACAAGCGCATGAGGGGGCAGGAGAAGGACTGGCCCGCGAGCAAGACGGAGACGCGGGCGCAGTACCTGGCCCGGCTGCGCCGCACGGCGTTGGCGACGCCTTCTGAGTACATCCACAGCATCATGGGCAGCCTGCACAGGCGCTGCGGCTTGCTGGTCGAGGCGAAGGGCGGCCACTTCGCCGAGGGCGGTGGGAACTGAGCGCGCGCGCGCGGTTTCCTCGGGCGGCCGCGGCGCGATTCGCGGCGGGCCAGGGCGGCGGGCGACCGCGGCGCAGACCGCAGCGGGCCGGGGCGGCGGGCGGCCCGTAGCGGCCCGCGCCTCGGTTGACCGGCGCGAGCGACGTGGGGCGCGGGAAGGGAGCCAGTCGCGGTCCACGATCAAGACCAATCCGTGCGTCCACCGCCCTTGCGGCTACAGGGCCAGCAGACGTAGTCGAAAGTACCTGATCTTGGCATTATGATTCTGTCCGCCGAGGCCCCCCAGGCGCCAGCGCCCAGGCGACCCCAGAGAGCCCCTCGCACGAGACATGCAGCAAAAAACATGGTGAAACAACAGTGAACCAACAGTGAACCCTCGTAAAAACCATAGTAAACTTCGAATTCTATTAAAAAAGAGTAGGCAACTTCTTTTTCATATAAAAATTGAGGTTCACTATGTAATTTGCCATGGTTCACTGTTGGTTCACTGTTGGTTCACTGATGGTTCACTGTAGGTTCAGTGTGGTTTTGATGCATGTTTGCACATGTCCAACAATGCCGCGCGAGCGGCATCCATGGACAGGATCCGCCGACCCCGCCAAGAGGTGCAGGGGGTGCGCCAGGCGCGCCAAGTGCGCCGCGTGCGACAGGTGCGCGGCGCGCGACAGGTGGGCCACACGCGCCAGGTGAACGGGGCGCGCCCAAGTGCGACAGGTGCGCAGACGACGCCCGCCAGGTGCAACGAGCTCCCCAACTGAGCAGCCAGGCGCCGGTTTACGATGCCCCTGAAGACCCCGACGTTCCGCATTGCGTTTTTCTTTGTAGCCTGTCGGCTCAGCGGGGCGGGGGCTGGCCCTGGCCGGGTCGCGCCGGGGGATGGCGCTCTCGGTGGACAGGCCAGAGAAGCGCCGCAGGCTCGTGGGGAAGCAGAGCCAGCAGACGGCGCTCCTCGAGCACGTCGTCGGCGAGGAGAACAGGAACACCTCGCGGGAGGTCTACTTGGTGACTCTGCCGCACACGGACAAGGAGGGTCTCAGAGCGCCAGCGGCTTTCTCGCGGGAGGAGGTCCGCGACGCTTTCCTGGATTGCTGCGGCGCTCCGGACGCCGACCCCGCGTGGCTCGCAAGCCGCCGCGGGCAGGGGGCCGCGCCCGTCGGGGTCAAGAAGCTGGTGGCATTCAAAGAATACCACGCGCCAGTGGCAGGCGTCCGGCGGGCGCACTACCGCGTGGCATTGCACCTGGGCAAGAAGAGCAAGTTCCGGACCGTGAAGCGGGCCTTGCTCAACAGGTACCAACTCGCCTCTCACTGGTCCTGCAGCCACGACGGGCACTGGTCGGCCGTCGGGTACTGCGCGAACGCGACGCCCAAGAAGCCGCGGAGCGCCCTGGACGTTGACTACTTGGCTTGGCCCGCGGACCACCCGCCGCTGTCCGCTGCGAAGAGGGAGCCGACGACCGCCCGCGCTTTGGAGAAGCGCAGGACCGCGCGGGAGCAGGTCGAGGGCGAGAAGGGGAAGCCAGAGCCTCGCGCCAAGGAAGTGGACCTGTGGCCGATAGTGGTCAGGTCTGGGATCCGGAATACTCCGGACGACCCCCACGCAGTGCGCAAGTTGATGGCGTACGCTAAGACGTCCTGTTCGCACAAGGTGGTTGCCTGGACGTTCAAGAACGAGCACGTGCTGGAGAAGATCATCGACAAGGCCTGGGCGTGGGAGAACGTGGACAGCTTCCTCGAAGACGCGACGAAACCCGTCATGCAACAGTTCAAGGAGGCCTTCCGGACGCCTTGCGTTTGCGGCGGCCGCTGGTTGCACCACGTCCGCGAAAGCCTGTCGATGAATTGCATCGACGTCCCCGACCTGTGCAGCAGCATCTTGATGTCCCTGAAGCACGGTCGGTCCGAGGCGGCCCCGGTGGTCACCTTGGCTGGGCGCTTCGGCGGAGAGGGGAAGTCTCTTCTCTTCTCGGCGGTTCGGCCGCTGTTCGGCGGTGAGCACGTGCAGGAGAGGCCAGGCGGGGGGCAGTTTTGCCTCCACGGCTTGGACAAGGCCAAGGCCGCGGTGCTGGACGAGTGGATGTTCATCGATGAGGACCTCCCCCTGTCCATCCAGCTCCTGTGGCTGGAGGGCAAGCCCGTGCCCACCACCATGCCCCAGAACCAGCACGTCGGGCACAAGGTGTACATGGGGTCCGCCCCGATTTTTGTCACCTGCCCCGAGACGGCGCTGGCGGGCCTCTCGTCCGAGTCGTCGCAGCGCCCGCAGGGGCAGGCTGGCATGCTGCTCCGGCGGCTGAAACTGTATTCATTCACTGTGCCGATTCCCAAGCCGCCGGCCCCGAAGCTAGTGCCGTGCCCGCGCTGTTTCTCGACCCTCGTCACAAGCGAGGCTCTTAAGTTCAAGCCCAAGTAGTCCTGCCGCGTGCGATTGGGGTCGCTGCGCGCAGACATCATCACCATCATCGCCGTCATCACTGTCGCCATTATCCTCGTTGCCACACCTCGTTGCCCCATCGGGAACTCCACGGAAGGCCCCGAGGGCTGACTCCGCGTGCCGCGCCCCGACAATTTCGGCAGACCCCTAGAGCGTTGCACGACCGCCACGGGCACGTCGTGCTTCTGGCCCGGCACGACTCCGACCATCACCGTCGACGATGCCAGCGCTGTCGCCTCTGGGCCCGTCCGTCAGTCCGCGTGGAGCCTCTTTGGGGGTTACGCGCACCCAAGGAGACCTCGCTGTGCCTGGGGTGCTTCCACTTGCGCGCAAGTTTCGTCATTTCTGTTAGCTTCTGGGAAGTGTACTGGGGCGCCGTCCTATGCGTATCCAGCCAGGACCTCGCGCCCCCACTGGGTGCTGCCAGTTGCGCAGTCCCCGCGAACTTATGAACGCTCGGGGGCTGCCATTGCGCAACCGTCTCCACTTTCGCGAGGGCCTTCCTGGGAGATGCTAAAATTAAGGAACAGCTTGGGTTCGAAATGGGCTCAATGTTCCTTAGGTCCGTCCATGGTTGTTTTTCTAGCCCTCCTCGCACACGCAGGCGCTTTGGGGGGGTAAGTGGGGCTTAGCTCCTCAACTATCGTTCCTTATTTCAGCCGCCCGGCTGTATCGGGGCGACGTTTTACGCACGCGTAACCAAAAAGGACCTAGCGCGTCTTCGGAGGCTGTCAGCTGCGCATCCTCTGCCACGCTCGTGAGCTCTTGGGCGGCTCAGCGGAGCAACGTCCTACGCGCACCCAGCAAGGGACCGAATTCGATGCTTGAGAGGTTGCCGACTGCGCATATGAGGAATTCAAAAGAAAGGGCCTTGCCTTCGAGGGTCGAGGGAGTTGATGTATCTTCCTCGGCCGAAGTACAGTCAAGCATATGGTAAAGAAACCTCCTGGGGCCAGCGTTTCTGGATCAACTTGCCAGAAAGCTGGCCCAGTTTCTTGCAGGTTCGCCTCCTCCAGCGTTAGCAACAGAATTGTACCCGTGATTGGTTTAAGAATCTTGCGGACGGCCGGCCCCAGATTTCTTAAATGATGAATTTCTGGATCGTATTTTCGGCTGTAAGATGGGGGCGGCTTTGCCGGCAGAAGCCGGCGGAAGTTCGGCGGAAGGCCCCCCGAGAGATGGCACGGTTTTTTCGTTTCCGGGTGTTCTGGACGCGCCACGCGCGGCCACTTTCGCGAGCTCCTGCGGGGCCCCGCGGGTCGACGTCCTGGGTTCACCCGGACGGGCCCTCGTGCGTGAGTGGGTCCCACGTTGGCCGACGAAGCGTTCAAGGGTGTTGCAGATCCCCTGGCGCGTTCGCATTTGTTGAGCTGCCTCGCTGATGGCCACCCCGTGTTTGGAAAGGGCCGGTTGCGTTCCTGGGCAGTTGTATTTTTTTCCATTCCGGTTTTATTTGTTGCCGGATTTTTTCCTCCATTTCGGTTCCCACGGGCCCGTCTCGGGACTCGGGACCACCAGACATATTCAGTACGAATCCAACAGGGACGAAACAAAGGTCCCAGGTGGAAGGGGTCCGGGGATCCAGAGCCAGCGCAATGTACAGCAGAGACGCGACGTCCCGATGCCAGGGGGTGCTTTTCGGTGGCTCCTGGGCTCCTGTCGGCTGTGCATGCAGCCTTCAGAGGTCTATAGCTGGTATAGTATGCTTCCCGCTCGCTCTGTCGGGCCGGGTCGACCCGTGAGGGTCCCGTAGTCAAGGGAGGGCAGACCGCCCGGACCGGACAATCGGCGTTTACTGAGTAACCGTGCCGGCGCCGGAAGAGCACGGATTCAGCGCGTGCTCCATTCGGGCCGCCTTGGGACATCTCGTTCGCCGCGGCATCGGTGCAAGGTGCCTTCTGCTCAGGGATGCAGTGGAGACCCATGCCAAGAAGCACCCCGCCTGCCTCCAGGGTGCCCTGGGTTTCTTGGGCCTCGATGGTCTTGCTATGGGAAGCGTGACGCGCCCACACCGAAGATCGCTGGACGTCCTGGGGTCTCAGGGTTAGGGGTTCCTTGTGGGAGGTCTCGTGTGGTTGAGCTCCTACTGCAGGGAGGGACAGGCTCCCGGGGGGGGTGATGCATCGACCCGCCCTCGCCGGTGCATCGCCGACGGGGCCCCGGTGGCTTGGCCCGTGCAGGACCGTGGGGCTTCGCAATCGGGAGCCTACACTAAAGGGGGGGGGCGGTCCAGAACCCCCCCCCCCCCTCCCCCCTTTCAAAGGGGGGGGGTTCCGGACGCATGTGGGCCCAATCCAAACCCACTGGGCCCAATCCCAACCAACCGGGACCAATCCCAACCAGTGCGAAAAGCAAACTGGGCCCAATCCCAACCATCTTGGGATAGCCCTACAATAGGATTTTAATTGTAGAGAAGCCCAAGACGACTGCGAAGACCAAGTGACACCCCTTATGTCAACGCAGAGGATCTGGAAGCCAACATGCGTGCTCGAGTTGGAATTGGTCTCAGTTTTTGGTCTGCGCACGAGCACTACGTTAAGATGAGCAAGAGGGCACCGAAGCGTAAGC